GAGATAGAGTTTGAATTTTCATATTGAAAAAATTTACATATATTGATCGGCGAAAAATCCGCACATATGATTTTTTTTATATTTGTGGTCAACTATGTTTGTGTTTATTATAATTTGTAACACCCCAATGATTTACTATTGATTTATCATGCAATTCCCCCTACCCTTAAATATTTTTTTTAAAGATGTCGAAATCTATGACAAAAAAAAGAAGTAAATCAAACAATTGGGAGGTGGTTGCTGGGCAAGTGTTTTAAGGATGGTGGTGGTGGTTATTGCCTGACACTCATCATCACTCTAGTTAACATTAATAAAAAAACTCTTTGAAATAAATTTGCTAAGATAAATACTTCTCAAAAAATTAATTAAAAAAAAAGATCAAAGGAATGAGTTCTTCTTGCTTATACTGGTGATTTAGATACTCATGTATCCTTGTTTGGCTCATTGAACAAGGTTATGAAGTTCTTGCCTATTTAGCTAACGTTGGTCAAGACAAAGATTTTGAAGTAGCTAGAGAAAAGGCCTTAAAAATTGGAGCAACTAAAGTTTTTATTGAAGTATGTAAATTGGATTTATTTATTATGTACAATGATGGTTAGTTGACGATAATTGACTTATTGATTAATTGATCAATTTGATTTTAAACATTTTAGGATTTAAGAGATGTTTTTATTGACAAGTTCATTCTTCCTGCCATTCAAGCAAATACAGTATGTGGAGTAAACTAAACCTGGCTTTTAAAAAATTCACCAATACATATATTTTTTACAAATTGACTAATACTTAAATAATTTTCTGTTTGTTAGAATATCAATTTGTTGGGTATTTCACTTGCTCGTCCACCAATTGCCTGTCGCCTAGTAAATATAATTTAGTTTTTATTCATCATTACCCTTGAATATGATGGATGATCTTTAATTTTTGATTGTTTATTAGATCAAACTTGCAATTCAAGAAGATTGACAATATATTTCTCATGGATGTGCAGGAAAAGGAAATGACCAAGTTCATTTTGAATCAGCATATTTTGCTTTAAAACCTGATGTCAAGATTATTGCTCCATGGAGAATTCCAGGTTAAAAATTATCAATTTTTTATAAATTATTCCAACAGTAATTATTTATATCATTGTTTATTGTCATTTTAAAATTTATTTTTAGAATTCTATAATTGTTTTCCTGGGTTATGATTATACATGAAGTCAAAACTATTTTGACCATTTGCAGATCTGGTCAAAATAGGGTCAAAATAAGGTCAAAACTGATTTTTACTATGTAGTTTCCTCAAGTCAAAACATTTTGACTTGGGGTTTTAATTTCGACTTCATGTATAGTTTTGTAATGATTGAACACTTTTTATCCAAAAAAAGTGGAAGAATAAACCCGTTTTTTGAATACTGCATATGGCCTTGGGATTTTTTTCCTCAAGCCAATCAAATATTTTAGTGTGTATTTCAGACTGTTCACAAAAGACTTTGTCATTATGTAAAATATTGCAAAGTGCTTTGGATATAACCTCACAAGAGACCTTTAATGGACATGCGTTATGTAATACATCAATAGTAGCTTTGAGTGTATTAATATATTTCTTTTTGTGAAATGCCATGTGGCTTTTGGCATAATCAATTGATCAATATTAATATTAATATTAATATATGTCATATGACTGCTAATACTAAGCTTGCTTGTTATTATTATAATTAGTATCAATATTAGTGTTATTATCATCATCACCGATTTCTGCATCAGAGGGGTTTTTTTTAAATCTAAAAATCCAAAATAGTTTCGGATTCGATTAACAGCTATATATAGCCTACTAATATAAGAGCATCAGATAACTGCAATTGTTGTCATTCTTTTCCACCTTTAATGAAGATGGATTCGAATTACACATTCATTTTTCAACAGGTTGTTTAGCAATCTAGGTTGATCAACAACATCCAATGTAGCAAGCAAACATTTATACCCATACAGATCAATTAAACCTATTCACGCAGAAAATACAAAGTCGTGACCATTTCTCCTTAAGATTAAGCCAAAAATTGTTAAACAAGGTCTCTTATCCACCGGGAGAACTGAGCTGGTAATTAAAACTTAAAGTAAATATATTTATTTGAAGCAAAATGACCTCTCTTTGATAATTTGCAATTGTATACAAATTCATTCTCTCTATAATATACATGTCCGTTATAGAGAGAGTCAACGGTAATAATATGAGACATATAATTGGGCTTAAATTCTCAGTCCGAGATCCATTATTGAGGAGAAAGAAAAGAAATTGACAAGCACTAAAAAACAAAATTGTAAAGTAAATTCAACTGTTAAAAGAACTTTGCAAAACATGTTTGAATTCATATTCATTATTCATAACGTTAAACTATTATTTTGATTTTTTTTTACAAAGTCACATTTAATTTATTTTTAAAAATAATAACAATAAAAATATAAAACATAAAATCAAAAGCAAAGGTAATAATAATGATAAAATTAATATCCTAGTTCTTTGTAACTGTCAGCTTGTAATTCATTATTTTCAGCAATCGCCCAACTAATTACAGGTGAAACAATAATTTCTACATCACCATCATTATTGTTAACACTTTCTTGTTTGTGGCCTATAAAACCTGTAACAAGTTGTAGCTTTAAATCCATGCCGACTTCATCAAAACTACCGATAAAGGGTACACTAACTCGACCATAAGGTAAATCACCTAATTCCGCGATTCCTCCTAAAGGATGACCATCACAAGTATAAGGAAAGAATGTGGTAATCCAACCACTTAAAGTAGGCTCGCCAGAGCCATAAGATTGGTAAGACAAAACTTTACTCCAAAAATCTTCAGGTAATAATAATGATAAAATTAATATCCTAGTTCTTTGTAACTGTCAGCTTGTAATTCATTATTTTCAGCAATCGCCCAACTAATTACAGGTGAAACAATAATTTCTACATCACCATCATTATTGTTAACACTTTCTTGTTTGTGGCCTATAAAACCTGTAACAAGTTGTAGCTTTAAATCCATGCCGACTTCATCAAAACTACCGATAAAGGGTACACTAACTCGACCATAAGGTAAATCACCTAATTCCGCGATTCCTCCTAAAGGATGACCATCACAAGTATAAGGAAAGAATGTGGTAATCCAACCACTTAAAGTAGGCTCGCCAGAGCCATAAGATTGGTAAGACAAAACTTTACTCCAAAAATCTTCATGTATTTCACCTTTATAAGTCGAAACAAATTCCCCAATAATTGGATCTAATTTATTTAACCAAAAATCTAAATCCAAATTTAATTTACGTAATTGAACTAATTTTTCTTGAATTTTCATCCAATCTTCTAAAGTACCGGTCAAAGTGATCTTTGGAATGCCACAACAAGTTGATATTCTATAATCAAAATAGGACTTGACAGTATCTAATAATACGATATTACTAGCAGTTTTTGTAGTAGGAGTTGTAGTTGTAAAATTACATTCTAATAATCTTTTTATTCCAACTTCATCTTTAACTTGACTATCAGTTGCATCAGTTAACTGTTGAACCGCTTGGTCCCAATTTCCTCCAATACATTCACCACTAAAATCCAAAAGGCCATCAACATAAACATTAATTTCTTTTTTGCCTTCATGCTCAACAAACACATAACGATATTTTTCCGAATTAAAATTAATATGCTGACTGACTCCCAAGGCAATAGCTAGCCAAATATCATCAGGTGAAAGTTTTAAATGTTGATGATAACTATAAGCTTGAAAAAAAGCAGAAATAAATCCATTTGAAGTTGGAGCTCTTTCAATAACTCGAGAGTTGATAGAGTTTGGTTCTGAAATTGCATGAATCTTATTTGATCTTAAAATTCTTTTGTATACATTGTCAATATTAACATGACCTTCGATTTTGGTTCCAAATTGAAGTTTTTCAGAAAGAATTTGAGTTGACATGTTTTTTTTTTTGCTAGTTTTTCTATTTTGAAAAAATAACTTTAGCGTGAGAAACTATTGGTATTTTTTGGTGAAAAAAGAAAACCATGTCACTAATAATCTGAAATGAGATCGATAAAAATAGCATGCAACACAAAATCATTGAACTTCCCAACAAAGAAACAATTAAACTCAATTAGTTTGCAATGTTAAAAATGAATTTTCGAAAATGTTTGTTGTTGTATTTAACATTAACATTAAAGTGCTGCCAAATTTTTTTTAAATGGATAGAGGTTCTTATATAAATACTGAAAAGATGTCAGATCAGTAAAAAAAAACAAGTATGAATTGATTGGTTTTGGTATTTATTATACATACATTCCATTCCTTTGGTTGTATAAATAAATTTATGTTTGGTCTTTCAACATTTTGATTAATTTACAAAAATAAAAAAAATTTTTCTTTAAAATAGAAATTAAACTTTAGTTTAAGGAGTGGCTTCTAATTCGAACAATGAAAAAAGAAATATCAAATGAAGAATGCTAATTAAAAGAAAAAAAAACACAACTTCCATTTTTTTTTATCTATATACATGCTTCATCAAGACCATCTCCTCCATCGAAAATATGATAAGTGGAAGCGCTCTGCACAAAAGAAATGGGAGTTTTGACAATTACAGAGTGGTCGACTTTGGGAAAGGCACATTGGTTTATTGTGTAGGTCGATATGTGTACAGGAATAACATATACTGTAAAAGTTCGCAAAAAATCTCAAGGAGGAGAACCCCCAGGTGGGAGCTTTTTTTCTTTTTTTTTTCAGATTTCCCTCATTCAAACAATTATCATTGATGACAATGATAATAAACCAGAAGATATTCGTAACGTATCAAAATGTAAATAATTTGGTGCTTGTTATTCTCACGCACTCCAACTTAAAATGATATCAAATGAAGAACAATTAGAAATGAAATTACGTAATATCTTTATTTATTATTATAATTACCACAATTAGCAACAAATAAAAATATTAAATAAAAACCAAGACAACTTCTCTCCTCTGCTGTACGGAAATATGTTAGAACCACAAATCTCAATAACCGACTAAAGATGGATAAATTATAAATTATTTAGGACTCATCAATTTCCTTTACCCAAAAAATACATTGACTCGATCATAAACCATTTCATTACCAACTTGAAAAATCAAGACCCCTTCCCTCCCTTTAAAAATTATTGATAAAACTCTCTACATCACATCCATAATGCCTTCTTCACCTTACCATCCGCATTCAATATATTCACTCAAAAGCACAATAGACATTGTTCCAAAATCAAGCTTTGATGATGCATCTATAAAAGCATTTTTGTGATCATGAATTCTGGGTCTTCACAAAATCCTCTCCACCTTTATCAAGCATAACCGGAAACATGGCCCTCATCTCTCCACACTTCTGTCTGAATACTCTTTCCAACAAAAGTACATATTAGTTGCTTTATTTTACATGTACAAATCAATTGATAACAACCATTCAAAGATTCAGAGCTGGAAGGGAAGCTTGGTAGACAGACGAAAGCATTTAATATTAATAAAATCACCACCCAGAATCGAATCTTTGCTTATTCCATATAAACTGATGGTCTGCAGAAAAAAGTTGATGATAATAAAGGAGATGCTAACAAATACGGATCGAATATTGATTTGAATGAATGCAAATTATTTAGGCTGGATCCTGGAAGGATATATCTGTTTGTAGCAATGAGTTCAGATGAAAAAGTTACAACAAGGAGTACTGGAACTTAGCAGGGTTGCAAAAAAATGAGTTGTTTGAAAAAAAAAATCTTCAGGCTGTTATTCGAGGTGAACTATACTTTGTTAATTTAATTTTCTATTAAACAAAAATATCATTGAATAATATTACTTACATACCTTTCACCTAGAGATATGCCATTCATAGTAGCTCTGATTTTTTTTTTTTTGCGCATAGTGCGCACGGTGTATATATATCATAGGGAAGAAATATTATAAATGTACGCATAATAATAAGGAAGCAAATAGCATATATGATTTTTTTTTAGAAATTTTTATGGGACCCGGACACTTTACATTTGGCAATGGTAAATTTCATCAACATCAACATCACGCAGACATTCTCCAGGTCCTGTAAAAGAATTTTGTCAAGAGTTTTCTAGACACTGCAATGTGGTGACCGTTGACGAGTTCCATATGTTCTTTGTGTGATGGATGTGGTTTGATAAGCATCAAAAATTCTGGACTGTCAGAGTCTGCAAATCAGTCTGCCTGACACATTGGAATCGAGATGTTAATGCTGCCTGTAACACAAGAGACATTTTTTTGCATACGAAAACTTATGGAGAGAGACCTGATCGTTTATAATTGTGACTTACTTGGATTTGACTTCTCTGCTGCTATTTTAAATTGCGGCAGGATATGTTTAGCTGGTGGCAGCAGCAACGATGCCACAATTAGGATTTGGATCTTCCTGATTTAGTGTAACGGGATTTACTCAATAATAGGCGAATCATAAATGGGTCAATTTAAGTTGTCGCTAACTTCATTGTTTATTTTATCTATAAAAATTTTTGCACATGACTATTTATAATAATTAACAGTAAATGAAGTTGAACTATAATTGTGCTTAATATTAATATATTTTAACATAAACACTTATTCATATATATAAGGAATATATAATGGCTAACATTGTTCTTCCTCTTTGTGTTCCTTCATCATACAAAGATCATCAGTATCAAGTACTTCAAAGTTTTCTTTTCTTTAGTGAAATTTTCAATTAAATCTCTCTAATAATCAGAAAATTTTTATTTTTAAATTAGGGATCTACTGTAGAACTTAGCAAAGATCTATCCAACAGTACAACTTTGTATATTGGAAATTTATCATTTTATACAACAGAAGAACAGATCTATGAACTATTTTCAAAAGCAGGAGAAATCAAGAGGATAATTATGGGATTGGATAAGTTTCAAAGAACACCTTGTGGATTTTGTTTTGTTGAGTAAGTTGGAGTTTTTATTTTTAAGAAAAAAAAAAAGAGTACTTGATATTAATTAACCTTTGAAAATTTTTTTTTGTAATTATTTTGTAAAGGTATTATTCACATCAAGACGCATTAGATTGTATGAAATATATTAATAGCACCAAATTAGATGAAAGAATTATTAGAACAGATTTAGATCCTGGGTATAAAGATGGGAGACAATTTGGAAGAGGTAGATCTGGTGGTCAGGTATATATAATATATATATATATATTATAAAATTTATTTATTTATTTATGTTATAAATAATTCAATCTATATTTTATAAATAAATAAAGGTCAGAGATGAATATAGGCAAGATTATGATACAGGACGTGGTGGATGGGGGCATCTTCGTGCAAAAAATGAAGCAGAACGTGCAAGAAGACAAAAAGAAGAATACGAAGCCATTACTTCTATTCCTATGGGTGCTGGTGAATACAAAGGAAAAGGTAATCATACGTTCACATTGAATATTAATAATTAAGATTTGAAAATTATTTGTTGATCAACATCTTTTATTGTTATGATGAATACCTAGGAACTACATCAAAGAAACATGAAAGAGATAGTGATGATCAAGGGCGTGAAGATCAAGGTCGTGAAAAGAATCCACGTTTTAGAGAAGACAAATCAGATGATGAGGAGGATGAAATGCAAACTGATGTTTAATATTGTAATGTCAATAAATTTTTTTTGGACAATTAATTTTATTGACATTTTTAAAATAATTTTATTTATTTCTACATGACATTTTTATAAATTAAAATTTCTTATAGATTATAAAAATAAAAATATCAATAATTTAATTTAATCAGTAATTAATTTACCATTTTCACACAAATTTTCAATCATACACTCATCACATAAATCAATTTTCTACAATTCCCGAATGAAATTATTCAAATAAATCTTTATCATTCATTTTAAATTTTTTATATATTTGCTAGTAGATAATGTGAGAATTAATTATCCACCAGAAACAGGTGGAATTATTGCAACTTCATCACCAGATTTTATCATGCTCTTATCAACATTATCAACATATTCCATATTGATTGCAAACATACAATTCTCAAGTATTGGTGTAAGGTTTTTATGTCGACTTTTTAATATATTTATGATTTCTTGAAGTGTTGTTATATTATTTTTATCGTTATTACTATTCAAAGAAATTGTTTCTGATGATAAATTTGTCGCATCTCGAGCTGTTGCAAAATACACAATCTTAACTTCTTGCTATAAATAAGTTAATTGATTTGATTAGATATTTATAAGATCAAAATTAAATTGAAAAAATTTAAATAAAAAATAAAATATTTTACTAAATTCGACATTAATTATACAATTTCTAATATTAAAGGTATTAAAAGGGACAAAAATTATTTATCTAGGTGTGACAGTAATTTTTCAATGAAAATCAAAAAATAGATAAAAATTAATCAAGAATACGCAACTTAAGGCATGAAAATATGATAATGATTTTACCTTCAATTGATGACTTACTTAACAGACAGTGAAAAGGTAGACAAAAGGGTTTCAATTATATACAAAATAAATGGTAGAAATACTTTCGGAAAAAATAATATTCATATCACTTTGATCAACTGGACTAAATATAAATACGTAACATCATAAATCCGTTGCGCCAGAAGCCTTAAGAGGCGAATTGCATATACAATAGCACACACACTTTTATAGTTTTAGGGTAATAATTATATAGGAGCGGACAATAGAATAGTATTATTGATGATGGACAAAACTATTTTTGAAAAACAGTGGATGAACGGGACACATGAGAAAATTTTATTTAAAATTGATTAATTGCCACAACGGATTTTTATATTAATAGTAATAATCAAGAAGATTTTAGTTGATATTACTAATGGGGTAATGGGTAATAATATTATGTGTATTCGTATGTTTGTTTTTTCCTTTATGGTTGAATGATGACTATTGTTACGCGACTATCAAAAATATTCTAGTTGATATATATTATTAATGGTAATAGGATTATTAATAATAACTCCTATAGTGCGTGTATATATATAATATTGTGTTTTCTACGGATCTATGGTTAAACGACTAATTATCGTTACATAGCCATCAAAGAAGTATAACCATTAATAATAATTCTTATGGTATATATAGCATTGCATTAATATTTGTCTTCTTCAAAAATCGGGATCTATGATTAATGAAAACACTCTTGTTATTATCGTTATTATCGAAACAACCTTTGCAGACAAGTCACAAATAAACCCAGCATTAAACGTCAATCCAAACACATAGCTTTATTCTGGTCTTGGTTCGTTAAGATGGTTATGTTCCCTTCCACTGTTGGTCTTACGTGCCCATGTTTTTATCACGTTATGCTATCCAAGTTTGGAAATTATCTACAGATCAGGGATGGCGCAGTCAAGGGACTATTTATTATTTATAAGGAAAAAAAAAGAGGCTTATCCATTTAGTAATCTTTCCCAAAACGCACATTAGTGTCTTCAAAACAAGAAAGAATAAAAGAAGGTTAGGATGGTGGAAGAAAGGTTTATCATGACTTTGTGTCCTCCAGATTGATAAAACAAGATTTGTTTATTTTCAACATCCAACAAAGTTTGATCTTAAACTCACCTAAACTGTTAAGTAGTATTAATAATGTGTAGTTGGGGTTTGTATTCTACTAAAATTAGGATTTCTATTCGTAATACAAATTCTTATTCGAACCCATTTATTTTATTCGAATAAACTTTCAATGTAATTCAAATACTCGAATTCATGATAATAATAATGACGAATAATTCGAATAAACCTTATTATTATCAATAGCATATTATTATTATCATTATCATTATTATTCGAATAGAAACCATAATTAAAATCAAAGTGTAACCACCTTAACGGTATCCGTGAATATAAGCCCTATGTGCAGTTCGATCTAATAATATATAATAATAATAATAAATCACTTTGAGGCTGTGGAGGATAAAAGTCTGCTATAAATACAATTTTTTCTCTTTAATTGGTAAAAAATAAAAATTTTATCTCCCAATAATGAATAATAAAAATTTTCTAAAGATATTATTGTTTTTAATTTCATCGTTGTTAATTTATTATGTAAATGCTGGTATAATAAAAAAATATAATTCTGATATTAAAGTGATCAATAATGCATTTTATGTTAGATTTACAACTTACAAATCATCAACATCATCCTCAGTGTCAATATCGTCAATCACATCAACAACAATTTCTTTTAAAAATGACACAGCTACCATTAATACTATTAATTTAAAAGAAATTTATAAATTACAACATAATGAATTTTATGAAGAATTAAAAATTCGTAATATTTCCATAAAAGTTCGTCATGAATTTGTTGATTTGATAAATGCAATAAGTTTTGAAGTTGAACATTTAAATCATCTTGAAATTATTAAAGATTTACCTAATGTTGATTCTGTTGAACCCATAGTATGTATCATCATTTATTTTTTTAGAATTACTAAGCAATTGAATAATATAATATAATATATGTACTTTTTAGATGATACATCAAGGCCCAAAATTCATAAATAAATCAATCAATCAAAATAATGGTTTAAACAAACGTGATTGGATTTCACATGCACCTTTAATATTATCATCAAAAATAGATCTTAATACGCCTCATCATATGACAGGTGTTGATTGGGTTCATAAACATCTCGATGTTACTGGAAGAGGAGTAAGAGTTGGTGTTATTGATACTGGTAAATTATTTGCACATTTTTTGTTTTATTTGCTTTTATACATAAAACAAATAGATGATATGAATGAATTGATCTTTGTAGGAATTGATTATAGACATCCAGCATTTGGAGGATGTTTTGGTCCAGGATGTAGAGTGGAAGTAGGATTTGATTTTGTTGATGATGATGATGACCCACTTGATAATTGTAATGGCCATGGTACTCACGTCGCAGGTATTATCGGTGCCTTGGATGATGCAAGTGGACTTGTAGGTGTTGCTCCTGATGTAACATTTGGAGCATATAGAGCAATGGATTGTTCTGGTCAAGGTTCAGATGATGCACTTATAAAAGCATTGGAGCAAGCTTCACGAGATAATATGGATATTGTAAATTTGTCTTTGGTGATTATTTATTTTGCTTACTTGTGTATATATATGTGTGTGTGTTGTTTATTTTTAAATTTGTTTGTTTGTTTGTTTATTTATTATTATTATTTAAAAAATTAATATTAAGGGAGGAAATTTCTGGGCATCAACACCATTATCAGACTCAATAGGAAAAATGATAGAATCAGGCGTTGTAGTGGCTGTAGCCGACGGTAATAGTGGCCTTGATGGTCTTTGGAAAACAATATCTTCAGCATTTGGATATAAATCATTATCGGTCGCTTCTGTTGAAAATAGTCATTTTTTGGGTTTTAAAGCACATGATATAAATGACAATGATTGTTCTCTAGAATATTTAACAGTAACAGCAAGGGCTTTACCATTTGATAAAGGAGAGGTTGTCATGTTTCCGAAACATTCATGTCCTGAAGATTTGTCAGTATATCATAATAAAATACTATATCTTGATTTATCTTCCAATAGCACATCGAAGAAAGATTGCCCTCCTGTACGTGTTTAACTTAATTTAAATGCTTTCATTTTATTGAGTTTATTCATGTAATAATAAAACTTATTCTCCATTTCCATTACAATGTTAGCTTCCGCCAGAATTTGTTGATAAATTATTAGCATTGATAATATCAAAAGTTGATTTATTTGATCCAATTTTAGCAAATTTCGACATCAAAAGTTTAAAATTACCAATGGCTACGATATTATCACGACAAGCAAATAAATTAGTAGAAAGATTGAAAAAAAATCCGGGTGGTTTAGAATTTGATTTTTCTGATAAACGTGGTTATATGATTCAAAGTCATGTTGGTGGAACTGTATCCTATTTTTCATCTTGGGGATTAACACCTTATCTAGACATCAAGGTATTAATCATTATTTCTTTCTTTAATCAATCAATATTAAAATTAATACAATTAACTAATCTTTAATTTCATGTAAATGGCTGCTTTTAATAGCCAGTAAGTATATTTTACATACTGATCAAAGAAAAATTTTATAATCATCATTATTATTATAAATGCATTAATTATCTAATCTACTTTAATAGGAAATAGCAGCTCCAGGTGGAATTATTTTTTCAACATTTCCAATAAATCTTGGTAGTTATGCAAATTTAATGGGAACGAGTATGGTAATTATTCAAATATTATTTAAAAAATATATATATACACACACACACACACATTCATATATATTGTTATTTAGGCAACACCATATATATCTGGTGTAGCAGCTTTAATAAGACAGGCCAATAAAATAGAAAAAAATTCTCACCGTTTTATTCAAAAGGCTTTAATGAATTATGCGATACCAGTTCACGATCAAATATTCAAAATAGTCCCACCAGTTTTAAGACAAGGTGCTGGATTAGTAAATGTTTATAATTCAATTAGAGCTATGGCGTTTGTTCATCCATTCAAACTTGCTTTAAATGATACAGTCAATGGTAAAAAAGATGGTTATTATGACCTTAGCATTGAAAACTATTGTGATAAACATTTGGAATATCGTTTAGTTCATATGCCAGCTGTTTCAGTAA